ACTCCAGAATGGGCTTGTCTAGAATGACTACACAAATCAGGCTGAATGAAATGACTCGATTGTAGTCCACTCACACTCAAGTGGTCATCGTTTTTACCCTGACATTAGAATCCCTTTAGTTCCACACGTCATAAATGACATAGAATTAAAATTAAAGATAAAAACAGGGGGAGGCAATCATTGACCATCACATTTTTCTAGTCTCTCTCTGATGTGTGACATATTACAATTACTCTCCGTTTCCAATCTACAGGTTCAAATATGTGTGTGTGTGTGTGTGTGTGTGTGTGTGTGTGTGTGTCGGGGGGGGAGGTGTTTATCCGTGAAAACACTCAGAAAGGGTATTTCCATTCAGGATAGAGGGTTTAAAATACAGTAAAGGACAACTGCCAAAATATTGGAATGATGGCCAAGAGGAAGTATTAACTAGGAAATTTGGGGATATATAAACTCTTTGTTTTTCTAGATTCTGGACGTCAGAACTTATGTTTCTTTGAGGTGCATCCATGTAAGGGTTTGATGTGGAATATTTTGAGCTTATCTTGGAAAGTGGAAGTCAGAGAGTAGAATTGAACCAGGCTTAATTCTTAACATAATAAGGTATAAGACATTGTAGTGGAAGGAACAGTGGTCCCCGAGAGTGGTAAGCATGATGGTGTTGGTTTATAAGGTACATGGTTGAATATATTTTATTTCCAATAGCTTAATAAACACACAATAATTATGTTTATTTTAACATGTATTAAACTATTATTTCTGTACATTATTTAACCATATAAGTATGCATATTATTTAACCATACAAACCATGATATCATGTATATTATTGCTTAGGATAGTAGTGATAGTAAGTTTCCTTAAAATTACTCAAATAAAGAACTGAGTCAGTTAGTTGGATGGAAAACTATTTAGTTAAAAATGTATGGGTGGCACACAAATATGGTAAAAGTTGTGAAAGAGGTTTATGAATGACTGGAAAATGCTAAATTTAAGAATTGGGATGTATTCTTTTTAAAGATTTTATTGGGGAATTGGGGGAGAGGAACAGTGTTGGGGAATTGGGGAAAGGGGAACAGACGAGTTGCTGTTCTTTCTTTTTTTGTTCTTCAGTCTAGTTGTGGAGGACGTCGCTTCACTGGTCCATGTTGGTATTATCATTGCGCTCTTCCCAGATGAGGCAGATGGGTCACCGGCTTCTGGATGGCCGCTCACAGTGGCTCTTGGCAGCTCACGCTGGCTGCTGGCTACACACAGTAGCTTATGGCAACCCACTACAGCAGAGGCTGCAGCCTACGCCGTCACCGGCAACTCATGGCAGCCCAGCTCCAGGTCGAGCTGCTGCTCACCATCTAAGCTGTAGAGGGCAATGTCACTGGCCCTCATGTGGGATCTGAACTGGGGCCCTGCTGCTCAGAGCTGGCATTCCAAGCCAGCTCTTAACCCATGCGCCACTCGGCTGGCCCTGGGATGTATTCTTTTAAACTAAACACTTGCTAACTGTTATTATCTTATGGATGCTAGTGTCAAGGAAGTGGAGTTGCATACATTATATGTTTTCAAATGCATGGGATGAATCTATGGGAGCATCATCCCATTCCTGTGCTGAATCAACCATTATAATTTGGACTGTGGAAAGAAGCTGTGGAGGTTCACAACTCACGGAGATGTGTAAAGTATCATGGAGGAATGTCTTAGTGCAAATCTTTCACAACAGCCCTATGCAAAGCAGCAACGTGAAATAGTCAACAATATACGATTAAACCAGGCTCAGTGCCTGCAATAAACTAGTTCCCCATTCTTTTGTGCTGGTGTCAAGCAACCTAACGGCTGTTCTTTTTGCTGAGCTAAATGTAACAGCTCACACAGATTTATTGGCTTGGCAAAGTTGCAAATTTTATTACGCAAAAGTTGAGAAAGAGCAAAGCTGAAGAGTGCTAAAAACAGTACACTTTGCTACTGTGTAGTATCTGCATTTGAGGCTCAGGGTGTTTTATTTATAGATATCTATTAATACATAGCAAAAGATACAGAAAGAAACACATTAAAAACTCCTTTATCAAATAGTTTCTAGTATTCAAGTGTTACATCAAAAGCAAGAACAGCAACAACAAACTGTTCTATTGGGGGGGAAAGCCATCTTCTTAACCTATTCTCTCCCTTCCCTTTCCTCTCTGAGGAAGACTGTGGCTACAAAGAGCCTTCCCCCCCCCTCCCGCTTAGATCTTGGAGGGGCAGGGTGGGGGGCTGTGGACAGAGGTGGGATCTCCACACTCACTACTGTGTCCAGCTCTTTTAACCTCCTCCTTTCCTACCTCCCTCTCCAGCAATGCTTCAAGTGGAGGAGAGGTGGGAGCATCTAGCTTGTAAAACTGGTTTGTTGAGGTTCTTTCTCCCTCCCCTTCCAGCTCCTTGGGAAACGTTTTTACTGGGTGGTTGCCTGGCAGTGCCATAGCTGAATTCTCTGGGCTTGAAAGGGGCTTCCCCTTCCATCTACCATAAGAAAAAGGGGCTGCTGCAAGAGGCAGAGATGGAGAGATGGGCAGAAAAGGCAGATACCACTATTTCCTCATGACACACAAAGGAAAAGAAGTGGAAATACACACACATACACGCCCGTACGCATCTTAGAAACTCAGGATTCAAAGAGGTAGGCCAAGATTGTACTTGGAACGATGGGAACCTCCCAGGTCTGAAACCCTGAGCATTTACTTTAGCAGAGCCCTAGTAGGCCCTGGGAGAGGGGTGAGGGGCAGATCATTGACACTCACTTTTTGTGTTTATAATTAAAATACATTCACAAGATGACAGACAAGAGAGGAGAGGAAGGAGAGCTCTGGAAAGGCATCTGGGCAGTTTCCTTTTGCTTCACTTCTCTACCTGATTTGTTGGGTGCTGCTGGCACCTGCAAAGGCAGCCTACCAAGGTGGGGGTGGCTGTGGAGAGAAGGGCTCCTTTGCTGGAGGGTGGTAGTTTCCAGGGAGGAGCTTAGGACAGGTTGGTCCTGACTGTGGCCAGTGTTCTGTCAAAGTTGCCAGGAGGTTAAAAAAGAGAGAGAGAGAGAGAGTGTGTGTGTGTGTGTGTGTGTGTGTGTGTGTGTGACCCCTGGCAAGACACAATTCCCTCACCACCTGCTCCTTGCTGAGGGAAGCTTGAATCTTGTGAATGTGATATCACCTTTCCTCTGCTGTTACTGTGGTTTGCTGGGGGGAAGAGGTTGGGACACACTGGCCAGAGCTGAGGGGGCTAGAGCTGGCTTCCTGCTTGGTGCCACCCAGTTCTAGAGGAGCTGTGTTCTCCCCAGCCCCCAGGACTGGGCTGATGTAAGCATAGGGAGGAAGCAGAGAGCCCAAGCAGAGGCCCTAGGGGTTGGGTGGAGGCCTCTCTGGGTGTGGGTGTGGGAGACAGGGATTCTGCCGCTCCCCCATCTCCGGCTTTTGCTGCAGTGGGACACTTTATGAGACAGATCTCATTATGGAACTGACACTGCTACTGTGACTGTCTCCCCAACTGTGGTGACTTCTAGGGAGATCCAAGGGGCCCAAGTGTGCTCAGGTCCACAGCTTTGGTATTGGGGTGCATTCTCTCCTTTCGATTCTAGGGGTGAAGGACAAGCTGGGAGAAGGAGGAAGACACACACAGTTCATGGCCTCCTCTTGAGTATTGGAAATGGGTCTACGCTTGAATACTCCCTGCTCCCCCCTTCCACAGAGGAGGAAGTTGGGGTAAAACAAGATGAAGACGTGGAGGAAGCCCCTATTTGATGGAGTCCCTACACGCTAGATGTAGACTCATTTTCTTCCTGTGCAGAGATGTCTTAAACTTATCCCATAGGCCTTACTCAGAGGCATGGTGAGAAATTTGGTGGAGCATGGAAACTGGTGCTTCAGTTTTGTCACTTGAAAGATGAGGCTAATTGAAATACCAATGTCTTACATTTATATTTTGCTTTGTACATTACAGCAAGCTGTCACCTCTGCAGTTAGTGCCCTGTGGGTACCTCAGGGGATATTTCAAGATTAAATAGACCAGAAACTGCTTTGGAAATGTGGACATATTATTAAATGTGAGGTATTATCTGATCCCCTTATGCAGCATAGCCATTTCCTCTTTCCCAACACCACCCTCATTGCATATTCACCTAACCCTATACAAAAACACCCCTTTGCCCTAAACGAAGAAATCAAAGGAAAAAAAAACAGAAAAGATGTCCCTGTGTAAGGGACATCCCCCCATCTTATGTTAGGCGCTATCCCTTGCCCTTTGTCAGCTCTCACCTCAGGTTGAGATTCCTTCAGTTGGAAGCCAAGGCGTTTTACTTTTTGTCCTCAGAAAACATCAGCCCCTGTAGCTCTTCGTCTCCCCCTGGCGTTCCTTTCCTGCTATTTCTGAAGGGTGGTGCTATTGAAGTAGGGCGTTCTAGGCAAGGGAAGAAGAATGGACGCAGACAAATCCTTGGGGAGGGGATTCTAATCAGTAATGCTGAAAAGATTGGGTATGTGCCTGAAAGGGCTCTAATTTTTTTTTAAAAATAAACTTCCTTTCCTTGCCATTCTCTCACCGAGCTTTTTCACCGTGGAAGCAAAGAACTTCAGCAAAAAAGAGTTAGGGGAGGGGGCTTGGAATAAGAGAAAAACACGTTGATCTGCCAAAATAATTTGACCCCCAGTAGGGGGGGAGTGAAAATGGAGAACATGCTCTTGTTTTATCAACACTAAGAAATCGGAGAGACATAAAAGGAAAATGAAGTGAACAACAATTACAAAAAAATTCCCGCACACAATACAATCTATTTAAACTGCAGCTCATACTTTTCATACCAATGGTATGACTTTTCTGGAGTCCCTTTTCTGATTCTTGAACTCTGGGGCTGGCAGCTTGCAAAGGGGAAGCAGACTCCAGCTCCGCACGGGCAGGTTTACCAAAGGTCTCCAATGGGTATTTTCTTTTTCTTAGCCCTGCCCCTGAATTGTCAGACGGCGGGCGTCTGCCTCTGAAGTTAGCAGCGATTTCCTTTAGAGCCTGGCCTTATCTCCGGCTGCACGTTGCCTGTTGGTGACTAATAACACAATAACATTGTCTGGGGCTGGAATAAAGTTGGAGCTGTTTACCCCCACTCTATAGGGGTTCAATATAAAAAGCCGGCAGAGAGCTGTCCAAGTCAGACGCGCTTCTGCATTTGCGCTGGAGCGAGTGCTGCGAGGGTCCTCGGGTCTCCGCTGCTGTCCCCGCAAGCCACCCGCCGCGTGCGTCTTCAGACCGCTCCCACTGCCTTCCCTCCTGGCAGAAACTCCTTTTTCTCCCCATTAACGAGCACTTAGGCTGAAGGATCGCTTTGAGATCAGAGTAACCAGAAGCGCTTTGAGGGAACTGAAGCCGTTTTTCTTCGTTTTTTTCCTTCGGGTTTAACTTGCAGGGGAGGAATTTTGACCTCTTTTACAGAATGGATTATTTCCCTATGATTTTCTCTCTGCTGTTTGTGGCTTTCCAGGGAGCTCCAGAAACAGGTAGGCACGTCGACTTGTAAATCTCTGAATGTTAACGTCTTCTTGTCCACTTTAATGCTTTCCTTGCTTCTGTTTCCCCCCCCCCTTTTTTTATTACTGCAGCTCAGATATCAGATATCTGGGAATTATCATTTAAAGCTACTTCAGTTTTCTAGTGGGAAAAAAATTCCTCTATTGAATACCATGGTTCCTATAGCATTAAAATCACATGGTCATTATTGCATAGTGTATTTCCTTGGCTTTTAACAATATAACTCAAGAAATGTAAAGACAAGATTAATTTAGCCAAATGTATATTTGCGATATATGTGTTCATACAGGTAATAGGACACATAGAAATGTATATCTCATTCAGATACTGTTTTAGTAGTGTGTTAATGTGTAAAATATTTAAACATTTAAGCTTAAAGCCAAGGAATTTTATTCAAGTCATTCACGCAGTATCTGAGCAGTAAAAATCACCTGCCGGAGCAGCCTATTGAATCACCCCTCAGGCGGTTTCAGGGTGAAGCAGATGTTTTCTTTAAAAATTTGTCATTATTGACTTTGGGTTTCTTTTGGCAGATTTTTGGCACCCTAAACAGTGTGAGCTCTATGTTCAGTTTTATTCACCTGTCCTAGGAGGGGAACTGGGCTAAATCTTGGCTGCTTAAGGATTTAGATAAGACATGTGCATCTGCCCCGTTCCCCCTTCTAGGGTCAGTGCACTGTTTTTGTCTTTTCGTGACCCTGACTAAAGAGAAAGGATGTCAAGGGAATGAAAATCCTGGAATGTGTCTGATCATTTGAAACGTACAAAATTGGGCAGATAAGCTGCTTGGCTAACTTGTCAGGAAGAGGAGCCCTTGCTGCAGCGGGGAGGGGGAGGCAGTGATCCCACACATACCAGGCTGTGCGGAGATTCGGGACTCAGCATCCACAGAAGCTGGACTAGGTCCCCTGAGCTGCTGCTCAGCCTCACCTTATGTCAGCGGTTTCTGTGGAGCTGACCTCCTGGAGTGAACGTTGTAAAGCTGATTTCTCTTCTTTCCCTCCGATCATCTCCCTAAAGCGCTTGACCTCCACCTAATTTTAAGGGTATATATTGTCTAGGCTACTCCCTGCCCTACACGAGGTGTGAAGGGGTGGGTGCTCCCCTCAAGGGAAGGTCATACTGCATGGGGAGGTGGCTGTGAGCCTAGAACGAAGCAGTGCGATTTACTTAATTTTAGAGTTTTGGTCGTCGCCTATTTTAAGCCACTGGTGATTCTGCTGTCCTACTAAGTTCCATGCAGAAGCCAACCCAGATTTCTAACGGGCCGCCTGGTAAGGCCCTTTGCAGGTGGTTGTTCCCCCTACACTTGTATAATCTCTCTGAAAGTGGATGAGGCAGTAGGGGTAAAGGTAGAAGTCATGATAGGGAGGGAAAAAATAAAGAGCCCCTTTCCTCTATGTTTCTTGCTGAAGGCTGGCTGTGCGCTTGCTTCATCCGCTTTTACGCGCTCTGCTAGATCCCGGTCTGCCCTGTGATGGAGCGTGTCCCGTGCCTCTGAGGAGACATCCCCCCTGACCTGGTCTTTCTCTCCGCAGCCGTCTTGGGCGCTGAGCTCAGCACCGGAGCAGACGGCGGAGGGGAGAAGCCGTCTCCCAGTGCACCCTGGCGGCCCCGCCGCCGCTCCAAGCGCTGTTCCTGCTCTTCTTTGATGGATAAAGAGTGTGTCTACTTCTGCCATCTGGACATTATCTGGGTCAACACTCCCGAGTGAGTCTCTAGAGGGCATCGTAACTCTAGTCATCCCTCAGCCCTGGCTTCAGCAGAGACTGGACCCTAGTCAGGCTGGCTCCTTTTCGGGGAAGCTCCTGGTTTGCGTTTCTGACAATGGAAGTGCCACGTTGGGTGGAGACAGTGTCCTTCCGTTCCTCTTTGGTTCTTGGCAACACAGGGTAGGGTCTTCTGAGAGCTATGGCTCAGACCACTCATGACAGGACAGATGGGAAGATCTGCTGGCTAGCAGAAGGCTGACACACATTTCTGAGGAGAAACTAAGTATGGGGGGTTGGGAGCATGTTTTTTTCAGTGGCATCTGCCTGGGTTTAGGGAATAAGTTGCTGACATCATATGCTGTCTCATGGGAGGGTAGAGGCTTAAGAGGCAGAAGCGATTGTAGACATTTATAATCTAGGCCCTCATTTCACTTATAGAAAAACTAAGACCCAAAATATTGAAGTCACTTGAGCAGGAATGAGTTTGTGACAGTGCTAGACCTAGAACCTGGATGTCCTGACTCCTCTGTACTTTCTTATTAGAAAAGCTCATTTCTAGACATGATAGAAACACAGTCCATAGATTTCTCTTCTGCTTCTAGAGTGAGGAAAGCACTTTTTCCCTCTTCATGCTGAAAGCTAGTTCACCCATCAGCACCACAAACAAAACCACACTTATTGTGCCTACAGTGACCTAGCATGGCGAGGGATGACCAAAATCCAAACAAAATCTAATCAAACCAAACCCTAGCCACCTTGAGTCTAATGTTTGCTAAGGTGATTCTTCCAAGGGAAGGACTTGATTTCTTAGGTGAGAATCAAAACAGACACATTGGAAATTACTGGAGAGCATCCTGGCAAAGACACCTACCTTCTATAGTCATATCACCAGAGTGCAGGCCATGTGCAAACCAGGGCGTAGTATGTCTCCTGCCCCCTCAGGGGCATGTCTACTATTATCATGTGATTTCAATTGAAAATAGGTTTTCAAAATCTTGTCAGTCATGGTTTTGAATGGTTTTGAAGTCCCTCTTTTCCTTCCCCCCATAGTTGTTAACTAAATAGACCATTAAAAAAGGAAGAAAATATGAAACAGACACCAAAGCAGGGATGTCATAATTTTGGACAAAAAACAATGCTGCTTATGTCGAGAAGAAATTGAACTTTGTTAAAAGTTGTAATGGAATTTCATTGAATTAGAAAAACTGGTTTCTCCTGGTTGGGTAGACACGCGCAGGGCCCTTGACAGGCATGTGACTCTTTGGTAAATTTCTCTACCAAATGCCACATGGTGAGCTCCTTATGTCCAAATGGAATGAGTTTGCCCTATAGAATGCATCATTTTGACTATAAATTATCCTCATATATTTTGTTCCTCTCTTTTGATAATAGGCACATTGTTCCATATGGACTTGGAAGCCCTTCTAGGTCCAAGCGATCCTTAAAGGATTTATTTTCTACCAAAGCAACAAACTACAGGAATAGATGCCAGTGTGCCAGCGAAAAAGACAAGAAGTGCTGGAATTTTTGCCAAGCAGGAAGAGAACTCAGGTGAGTAGAAAGAAACCTTTGCTTTAGAACATTTTTATGGCCTCCTGACCTTCTTCCTATTATAGCGCTGAAAATAAGAGGCACAAGCATCCAGCTATAGAATAAATAAGCCAAAAGGATGTAGTGGACAGCACAGGGAATGTGTCAGTAATATCATAACCTCGCACAGTGACCGATACCAGACTTACTGTGGTGATCACATCGTAAGGTGTATAAATGTTGAATCACTATGTTGTACACCTGAACCTAATATAATATTGTACGCCAACTATACTCTAATATTTTTTTTAAAAAAGGAGAGATTAACAGAGACATTTAGAGCAAATGAAGGTACCATTGCTGAAATGTTTTCCCCTACGTGTATTTTAACAGGGACCAAGCCACTATGGAGAAAGGCTGGAATGACCATAAGAAACAAAAAGACTGTTCCAAGCTTGGAAAGAAGTGTATTCATCAGCAGCTGGTGGAAAGAAGAAAAATAAGACGGTAAGAGGCTCCTAAGAGCAGCTAGCCCCCATGGCCAGTGCTAATGGCCTGCTCCCCCATTCTTACTTTGATGGGAGAAAGGCTTAAAAGACAAAGGGGATCTTCATATTCTATAGATGAAAAGGAGCAAAGGAATCCCTTTCCAATACTTTTTTGAAGGTCCTGAATGCAGACTGCTGCCCAATTTTGTGATCCTTAACACATCCCCTCAATAGAAAGGTAGATTTTCCAAACAAAATACATCTAGACACACTTTTTGGTCATTTGGCCTTGGCCTCTCTGAGTCAATATATTTACCGCTTTCCCTGAGAAATTAAAAATCATGTCAGGAAATGGTCTTTTTTTTTTTTTAATCAAAGTGTCATGTATGATCAAGTTCTTCAAAAAGTAGCAGTTATTCAAATGGCCAAAGGGAAAATAAAGTCATTAGATAGGGTTGGTGAGAGTTAGAACATGCTGTTTTTCGGGTTTATTTATTTACTTAAATAGTGAAAGGCATTTGGTGGAGAGCCAGCGCCATTCCAAAAAGCCCTCTCATTTTCTAGTCAGTCATGAGCAGGGGTGGAAAAGCACCTGGATTAGGCAATGTCGTTGGGTTGCTCTGAGCAGATCTACAGCAACGACCCTCCCAAATCCTAAACATTTTGGGGTTCACAACCCAGAGGGAGGAAACCTGCTTTTAGATCTGTCACATGCTCTCCGCGTTTCCCTATCATGGTCTGTGGGAACTTTCCTAGAAATCCAATGGCAAGAAGTTCTAGAACCCAAATGTCCTGGGTACTGTCTGGCCTTCGTGAACTGCTTCTGAGTCATTTACCACTCAAGTGTGGGACATCGCCAGCTGTGTGTGGCTTCATACTTGTCACTGCAGTTTCCATGTTTATGATCCCGGGCCACTGATGCTCCTCAGATCCTAAGGTCAACAGAAACCACAGTTTCTGAACTGACTTGAAAAATTTTTTTTGTTAGTTTCTATTATATCATCTACTATATCAATGTTACAGTTCTTCCCTTCTTTTTTATCCTGCAAAAAGGAAACATTAAACCTTCGAGAAAAAGGTTTTTCTGATTGCTGTTTGTTTTGGACCTATGTGTACATCTCTCTTTATTTCTTTCCTACTAAGTAAGGGTGGTGGGTGGGGTAGGGCCATAGAAGAAAAGAGTATCTCTAGTTTACCTTAAAATTGGGCTTTAAAGTTTTATTTAATGCCCAGGTCCCTTTAGATATGACCATATCACTCTTCCTCCCTGTGTCCCTCCTCCCCCATTCCAGGCATAAAAGGCAGGCTTTATTTTCACTTGAGGTTAGCAAAGGGTAGCTTGCTGTTGTGGTTGGTGGTGAAAGTCCAGGAACCAGATTTAGATTTGTTTGTGCCAAATTCTAATTTTAGATGTTTCTTTTGCTCAGGAATGATTTTTTTTTAAAAAAAATAACATTTGTTTGCTTTTGTCTTGTTTTAATAGGTTGGAGGCCCTCAGCAACAGCATCAAAACAGCTTTTCACATTGCCAAGCTGAAAGCTGGACTCTACAAAGAGAAGAAAGTGACCCACAACCGAACACACTGATTCCAGATCGCACTGCATGAAGTCATCTCCTCCACAGAGAGCCGCGCTGCGCGGCTGACTGCATTCTCCCCACACTGGCTGGGATCAGAGCAAAGCATCCTTCCTGCTTAGACCATTTCTTGTTCCAGACTGGCAAAGAACCAGCGTCCTCCTTCCAAACATTCCAAGACCTGCTAAGGAGTCCCCCAACCCGTCTTCATTTCCTTCCATCAGCGGTAACTGCTTTTGTCTCTCTTGAGGGCTGACAATGGACCACTCAGAGAAAGCAGAGAGAAACAATGACTTGCAAATTATGGTGGTGTCCTTCACAGGGAAGAGAGGAGACTCCACCTGCGGGTGGGGTTCCTGAAGAGGGTCTGAAGGGAGTGTTTGTGTCTCACTCAGGCGCCTGGCACATTTCAGGGAGAAACTGCAAAAGCCATGCAAAGATTTTTCTAAGGAATGCACAAATTGAAAACATACTCAAGTGAAAAAAAATGTTTTTTTTTTTAATCCACAAAATGCAAAACTGAAAGAAACTGTTACTACTGTCAATCAGGATGTGTTTCCTAAATATGAGTCTACCTCACACGTATTGCACTCTGACAGAAGTATGTCCCCAGCTTTAATTATTGCCCCCCAAACTCTTCCCTTTCCTGCTACCCCCTCCTTGAAAATCTTCACACTCAATCCTGGCCTCACAGAAGTCTGGTCTAATGTGTCAGGAGTAGATACAACACTTTTGTGGTAATCTACTAGCTCTGATCCGTAAGAAAAAAGATCACTGAATCAGGAGATTCTCTCACTTTGGTGTTTGGAAGCACAATGGTATAGGGTTGTTGGTGAAAGACATCAAAGCGTAAACACGGGTTACGTGTTAAAGCAGTAGAACTATTTTCCTTTAAATAACTGGCAAATGGAAGAGGTGGGATTCAATGTTGATGTACTTATTTTTTTATAGATATTTATATTCAAACAATTTATTCCTTATATTTACCATGTTAAATATTTATCTGGGCAGGCCACATTGGTCTATGTAGTTTTTAAAGTGTATTTCTGAATGAAATTGAGAAAATGCTGTGTTTTGCCTGTCAAGGTAATGACTTTAGAAAATAAATATTTTTTTCCCTACTGTACTGATTTTGAATCATTTCTGAAATTCCTAAGAAGTGGCCCAACGTGGGAAGAATTATGAAGGGGAACAATTAAAGATGGTTTCTTAGAAAGGTGACAGAAGGAACATGGTTTTAGCTAATTAAAAAAAGAATTTGCTCTATATCTTAAAAGTTGCCTTTAGACTGCATTAAGGTACAAAACAAATCAAAACAAAACCCAGCTTTAACTCCTCTTTCTTTTTCTGCCAAGCAGCCTTCTGTTTCTCGCTCACCTGAAAACTCTCCAGGGGCTTTGTCCATTAGCTTGCTTAGGCTATTAGACAGGATCCAACAGTTTAAGCTGATGGTGTGGTGAGAGGTGCTTTTTCCATATTAATGGACTGAAGGAAGCAACGGCAAGGTAACCTCTCCAAATGTGCCCAGTTATACACAGTTCCACACCACAGGGGCTTGGAGAAAATGGCCCACTCAGAGCAAGTTAGGCACCCCCCAAATGGCTTTTTCTTTGCTCAAATGAAGAATTCTGTTTATTCGGAAGCACTGAGTACCTTTGCTCCTTCATGATAGCCTAGGCCTGGACACATGCCCGTGGAAGTCAAGATACCAAATGCTGTTCCTCGGCCTCTCCATCACAGCACCACCCTCCTCTCCACTTGGCTGGCCTTGTGAAACCATTGAGGAAAATAGTATAGTAAATGCTTGTTACCAACAGAAGCCCTTAAGAGCATGATCAGCTTATGAGAATCTTCACTGCCCTTCTCTAGTAATGTCTGAAAGAATGTCTGGCATTCAACAAATATTAGCTCACAGTGATCGCTGTTGTCCAAACAGTGACTCATCTGAAGGATGTTAAATAACAGCCTTCAGGTGTGCTTCGTCAATGTCCCAGGCAGAGTTTCTACCTTTATTGGCATTGTTTTTCATTTCTTTCTTTCTTTCTTTCTTTCTTTCTTTCTTTCTTTCTTTCTTTCTTTCTTTCTTTCTTTCTTTCTTTCTTTCTTTCT